CTGGTTTAGACCTGGTTTAGCCCTGGTTTAGTCCTGGTTTAAACCTGGTTTAGTCCTCTTTTAGTCCTGGTTTTAGTCCTGGTTGAGACCTGGTTTAGTCCTGGTTTAGTCCAAGTTTTAGTCCTGGTTTAGTTGTGGTTTTAGTCCTGGTTTTAGTTCTAGTGGTTTAGTCCTGGTTTAGCCCAAAATGTGAAAACAGGAAAATATCGCCGTGTAATCCATTTATTTCCACAAAGTAACTGTAATCCAATGACCGCTCACTGAAACAGTAACTGTAACTGAATACAGTCACTCATAATTTGTACTCTGATGACGCATGTAATCCATTACTCCCCAACACTGCAAATGAGTAGTCCAACATGTCATAGGCGCTTTAATATATACGACCAAGACAAAATGTAACCTAGTAATATTTCCCATGTCAATATGTATGTTTGAATCGACGAGGGTCTGGAATCGGACCATAGAACCTTCGTCCAAACAGCTGCTCATTTGTATCATGTGTCTCTAAAATGCAGAAGACGTCCAAAATTCTCCAAAATTCTTGTGTAGTACAGAACAAAATATACAACTTCTTTTACCTGAGATTAAAAAGAACATTGCTTTGTGTAACTTAAGTGGTGGAGGGTCAGTCAAATGCTTTTCTCCATGGAGCTGTTATTGCTTTGTCTGGAATGTTTCAGTTTAATCTTGGCCTTAACCTTCTCAGTTATCAGTTTTTTGTTTTTTTTTCACTTATAAACCACCATGTTTGTTACCCTGAGAGAAAAAAATATCAAAGGGGACTGAAAAACATGATGAGTCAATGAACAAAGCACTAAACTCGGTCATAATGTTACGTGACCAATGAGCTCTTTTGATTCAGTTTTACAGTAAAATCACAGAGCTATAAAAACTGAACACACTCGACTGTAGACTTTAGCTTCAGGTCATAACCTTTATCTCCACTTTGTGACCTGCAGTTATGTGAGTCAGAGGATCTCTCAGGAGGACAGCTTCACCACAGCGGTTTAGTCTTTACCGAGGAGATGGTTATTTCATGTAGAATGAGTCTGAATGAATGAAGCGAATCTTAACGTTTATTAATGTACGGAAGCCGAGAGGGGTCGCAACAAACGCAAACGCCGCAACAAATACAAATGCGACAACACAACAAAAAAAGCCACAACGGAAATGACTGCGTGACTCTATTTTAATGCAAACGCCACAACACAAACGCAAAAGCCACAACACATTAAAAAGCCACAACGGAAGTGACCGCGGGACTCTATTTTCCGACGGACCGATCAAGCGGCAAGTGAAGAAGAAAAACTACAACGTGAAAAGTAAAGGAACGGAGAAGATGGAAATATAAGTGAAAGTAATTTATTGTTTTATCATTATTCGTTTCATGTTGTAGTTCTTCTTCTTCACTTGCCGCTTGATCGGTCCGTCGAAAAATAGAGTCCCGCGGTCACTTCCGTTGTGGCTTTTTGATGTGTTGTGGCTTTTTAATGTGTTGTGGCTTTTTAATGTGTTGTGGCTTTTTAATGTGTTGTGGCTTTTTAATGTGTTGCGGCATTTGCGTTTGTGTTGTGGTGTTTGTATTTGTTGCGGCGTTTGCATTAAAATAGAGTCCCGCGGTCATTTCCGTTGTGGCTTTTTTTGGTTTGTTGTGGCTTTTTGTTGTGTTGTCGGCTTTTGCGTTTGTGTTGTGGCGTTTGCGTTTGTTGTGACCCCTCTCGGCTTCCGTATTAAAGGGCCCAGAGAAAGTCGTCATCTGCGTGATTCTAAACCATGTTTTCTTTCCAGTTTTGTGACGTAAGCGTAAATAGAGCCTATTGCCAAACACTACTGAACTAAAGGTAAAAGGAGCTGTTAACTTGAAAAACTACCACTTCATGACATCACAAGGTGGAACAGAGCACTCGCAGCTTTGGAGATGTAGACAGACTAATAATAAAGTGTTACGCAAACATGTGTGAATGAAACAAAACACAACTCCAGGTCTGTTCTTGAGGAGGAAACAACATTATAACATGATTTAAAGCTCACAAGAGTTAATCTTTTGTAATATATGACGATGTGAATATTCCACAGTATGGCATTAAGCATTCAAGCTTGGTTATAGGCCAAATAGAATGAGTTATTTCTGCAGAATTACTCAACTGAAGTGAATCTTAACATTTATTAAAGGGCCTAAACCTGAAGTTGTGTTTTTATTTTTTTCATTCACACATGTTTGAGAAATCCTTCATTATTAGACTGTCTACATCTCCAAATCTCAAAACGCTCTGTACCTAACTTTTACCTTTTGTTCAGTAAAGATTGGAAATTCCAGGGCTGAAATGATCCAAATGATTGTAATGAAGGTGTGTGAATGAAAAAATACAGTGGAGCACTTGCTGTATTAATCACGTGACATCACAAGGTGGAACAGAGTGTTTTCTGTTTGAGAGAAGAACTATGCAGGGTTTGTGTGTTGAACAATGTGAATAAAACACAACTTCAGGTCTGTTTTTAAGGAGGAAACAACATTATAACATGATTTAAAGCTCACAAGAGTAAATCTTCTGTAATATATGACTATGTGAATATTCCACAGTATGGCATTAAGCATTCAAGATTGGTTATAGACCAAATAGAATGAGTTATTTCTGGAGAATCAATGAACTGAAGTGAATCTTAACATTTATTAAAGGGCCTAGACTTGGAGTTGTGATTTGTTTCATTCACACGTTCGAATAATTCTGCATTATTACTCTGTTTACATCTCCAAAGCTCCAAATGCTCTGTTCCACCTTCCAACCTTTAACTTTTGTTCTATAAAGATTGGAAATTCCGGGGCTGAAATGATCCAAATGATTCTAGTGAAGGTGTGTGGAGTTTAAAAACACAGTGGAGCATTTTCTCTATTACCACATGACATTACAAGGTGGAACAGAGTGTTTTCTGTTTGAGAGAAGAACTATGCAGGGATTGTGTGTTGAACAATGTGAATGGAACAAAACACAACTCCAGGTCTGTTTGTGATGAGGAGACGACATTAGAACACAGATCACAGAGAGAATGTGTCCTTCAAACAAATCACAGGGCACACAGCAAAAAAGCTTTTCACTAAAATCATTTTTGGCCAGACTGGAAGATTGAAATGAGCAGAGGTAAGAATGAGACGGTTTGTGTGTAAGAGGCTTCAGGGATGTATGACCTGGGGAGTTTAACTCTTATCAGGCAGAGGCAGTGTCCGATAAAGACGCCCAGAGCCTCACAACACTGGAGCGAGCATGTGGCCTTTAGCATGTAGCCTTTAGCATGTTGTCTTTAGCATGTAGCTGATGAAAACTGAAGAAGCAGCTTGGATGAGCTGCGAAACGTCTTCAACCAAACTAACTTTTGTCCAGTCGACAAACTGAATTTTTCTCCTTATGGATTCTACCAGGACGACTGAGGGATTCTTCACACATGTAGTCTTTAGCATGTAGCCTTTAGCAGAGGCATGTCCGAACTATGGCCCGTGGGCTAAATGCGGCCAAATTTTTCTTGGCCCTCAGGCTTCCAGGTGAATTGGCCCAAATTACCTTGCATCAATTAAAAGTGAACTTTTACTACCTTGATAAAGCCGATATTTAATATTTAGTGTGTGGTTTTAAGGATTTAACATGAGTAAAGGACTGATGGATCATTTTAACGTGTTAAACATGCACATGTTTCAATTATTCACTGTACTGAGCATCAGTCTACGGCAGGGGTGTCAAACTCATTTTGGTCTGGGGGCCATATCGAACCTACTTTGATCCCAAAGGGACCGGATCAGAAATCTCATAGCATATATACCCCAAAAATAGCAATAAGTTCAAATATTTGTGCAGAGAAACTCAAATCTATTACACAAATCTTTTTTTTAATTGATGAACTCTTTGCATGCAATTTCAACACAATGTTTTAACATTAACTTGTATGCAAATTGGAACAAGTCAATTTTTTTTGGAAAATCCTGCATTTGGTGTCCACTTTTCTCATTTCTGTCATTTTGCTGATGAGGGTGTCACGATCTACAGTCAAAACGATCGTCCTTTAAGAGCGTTTGGAAAGAGGCAAGAGGCTCTGGAGACGCTGGTATACTAAGCGGTGCAGAAAATTACTAATATTTTAATAGAAAATTTAATGAAAATATTTTAGTAGAAAATCAGCTGAGGGCCAGATTAAAGGTCTTGGAGGGCCGGATCTGGCCCCCGGGCCTTATGTTTGACACCTGTGGTCTACGGCCTCGATCAGCCCTCTGCCTCATCTGTGTTTAGATATGTGGCCCTAGATGAAAAAAGTTTGGCCACCCCTGCTTTAGTATATGCATATATCCTTAAGCATGTAACCTTTAGTGGGGACTGAAGGGTTTACTGAAGGGCCAATAAGAGTTTTATCATGAATAATGTCTATACTGTGTTTTGGAATCCATTAAAACACCTGGGGATCGTGATTTGCTTCTGTGGACTGCAGGGAGTTGTGCCCCGACTTTATGTGTTTGTGATTTTTAATGCAGGTTTTAATGGTGATACAAAAGTCTGACAGTATAATGCAGTAATGTTTTTACCCACAGAGGCCCAGCAGATGGTCTGGTCTCTCCACGGCTCTTTTGTTTACGTGTTTATACTGTACTGAATTGGTGTTTCACGCACATACACACAGACATGACACATTCCGCCAATAATGTGTTTCCTGACGTTTGATCCTGAGATATGTCTGTAATGCATTTGTCTTACACTTTTCCAGATGTCCACAGTCACTTAAACATGACATACATTATTCATTACTCTTCACTATCAACAAGAAACACGCTGACACAAGTGCACATGCTACAGACGGAGTACGTGGATAGTATACAGTATACAGTACAGTATATATTCAGTTTTTACCGAGCATGGTGACAGCGGCGTGGACCGTGCACATGAGCATGGTACAGATGGAGTATGTGTGTAGAATATATATATATATATATATATATACATGTACATAATTCTTCTTACCTAACACGGTGACAGTGGCGCGGGCCGTGCGTACGGGCATGGTGAAGATGGAGCAGGTGTACTCGCCCTCATCAGACAGCTGCACTTCGGAGATGGTGATGGAGAGCTCTGTGGAGGTGGAGCGGTGGAGCTGGATCCGATTGTCCCGAAGAGCTGAGGAGAGGCAGAAGAGAGGGATGAGTGTGGGCGAGGAGGAGGAGAGAGTGTGATAGAACTTTACAATCACTCAGTTTATTTAAAGCATTGTGCAGCTGTAACAGTTGAAGGCCACGTTTACATGGAAAAGAATCACCGTATTGAAACGATCTGCGTCCACACACATTTTTTCTGTCTGCAAGCCTTCCTTTTCCACACGACCATATTTGTTTACATTTTACAGAAACAAAACTTAAAACCACATGTCTAAAATGCATAAACTGAGTGCTCAAAAAACAGCTCGTTATTGTGCGCTGATGTGGTTCAACTTCTGTCGGGCTAAAGGACACGACTCAGTGGAATATGAGTGTTCTTTCTGTGACAGAGGGGTGTTCTGCTGATGGTGAGTCTGTTCTGTGCTTCTGTCACGTTGGAGATGGTTCATGTGAAACTTTTCAGAGATTATACATCTGCAGGTTGTACACACACACCGTTTATATGAATGGACATATATTCTAGGCCAGAGGTCTCCGACGTTTTTCCTCCGGTGAGCTACTTTTACAAAACAAAAATGCCAGAGAGGTACTAGTTTTTGCAGTCATAAGAAATTGAGCATATATATAGTAAGTTCCATGGCGAGCCTTAGATGAGGTAGAGTTAGATGCCTATAAAACATAAACCATTATCCATTAATTAGTGCACAAAGTTAAGCATCAAAATAATTCATGTACAATGGAAAAGGAATTTAATTAATCAAATTTTACTTATTCAGCACAATACGTGTAATTCTGAAATCCCTTGGCGAGCTACTTGGAAGGGGTGAAAGCTACTGGTAGAACCTGAACCAGGTTGGAGACTCCAGCTCTAGGCTCTTAGCATTTTGGCGGTGAATTACTTCACAGCGCATAGACATACATCAGCATATCAACGTTTTCAGGTGTCCACACGGTACCAGATCAGATCCATACTCAAATTAATTCGTGGGAGCTGGGAGCATTGTTCCGTCTCTGGAGCCATTTTTAATCAGATCAGTGTGGACGAACACTGCATCCACGAAAACGACCCGAATACATACTGGTGTAGACGGGGCCTAAATTAGATGTAACCTACCCAAGTTTTACTTATTAGTTTGGGAATGTGTTCCTTTAAATTTCGTTTAACTATGCGGTGTCATATGTGCCCAGTAGAGGATGTTGTAAGTTCTGTTGCAAATGCACCGCCATCTTGTGAAGAAACTGGACAGCACATATAAGCTATATTGTGCAAAAATGTGGTAAAATATTGCTTAAATGGTTAAATAACAACTTGTTTTTGGTTCTTAGACGTAAATCAATTTGCAAAGAGTTCTGGAGAGGAAGATTTGTCCAGGTTTTGTTTGTTCTTGTTCTCTGTTGGGTGTGCTAAAGTGATATGTTAGCTTCATCTTGTTTTCTACCTTGACTTAAATACATGATGCAATGACAATTTATTATTTACATGATTCAGTGAACGTATAAAAACCAACTGGAGAAATGTGTAACTATGTACAGATCAGAACTTATATACAGAAACAGATTTTAAGGGTTGTTACACTATCATGTGCTCTGCTAGTGCCACGTGTTGAATACTGCACATTGTGTAAAAAACCTACAAGCTCCTGTAATCCAGTTAGAAGTAGTTTGAAATGATTTGAACCAGATCTGAATTTGTACTTTGCGAAAATTGTATTAATGTTACCCTGGTTATGCAGGTTGATTTTTTGTTGACCCGATTTGACCTGGGACTGTTCGGTGTGAGGCTGGAGTCACTGGATCCAGGACCTGAGGACCCGAGGACCTGCTGGACGCCTTGACATCTCGCCATGGTGGACCTGACCTTCATTGCAATACAGCTGAAATAAGCTAAGATCTTGTGCACCAACGAAAGAAAAAAAACAACTCATACTACCCGGGTAGATGAGACACAATAGTTTTTTGTTTTTTTTCCAGAGCTCTGAAACTTTTATTTTAAAAGGGACAAATTGTTTCTTACAAATATTTATGTCACTAATAAAATCATCATCTCCCACATAAATAGTTTTGAAATTGTATAAGGACATCCTGTTGGGTAAGGAGGGGAGCACATATTATGTCAAAGAAAAGTGGGAAAGAGAGGGAAAGTTTACAATGACAGAAGAGGATTGGGAGCACATATGTCAAATCCAGTGGATCTCAACAGGGTCAAATACATGGCGGGAATTTTGTTGGAAAAACCTAATGAGATTTTTCATTACACCAGTACAAAAGAGATACCAAGGAACAGGTGATGCCTGATGGAGATGTGGGAATGATGGGGCTAATCACTTCCATATTTTTTGGGAATGTGGGGTCATCCAAGAATACTGGTCAGAGATTCATCAACATCTGCAGGGTGTTTTTTCATTTGTTTTCCCCCTGTCATTTGATAACTTTGTACCTTGGTAACTTAGTGTTAGACGGCTTTAGCAACACAAATAAGAGATGACTCTATATTCTACTGGCAGCAAGTAAAAAGGCAATAACTGGATTGACATTGTGCAAGGGATCTACATGATGGAAAAGGTTTCATTTTTACTGAAAGTGCAGCTGGACTTATTTTACAAGATGTGGACTAAGTGGACAGAGGATGTAAAGCCAGTGAGATCAGACTTCATATAAAACTACCTCATAGTTGCAATATTCTGTTAAATTGTGAAAGAGGTTCCCTGGCTCCCCAACCTGTTCTGAGTTTGTATACGTTTTAAAAAAATTGTAAGAGCAGGAACGTGTGATTTAATTTTACACATTGCAAAAAGTAATCTGCTTTTTCAATAAAAAGTAAATTTGAAAAAAAAAAAAAGGGACAAATTGTTGGATAAAGGACTGATTTACATAGGGGTAAACTTGTAATATTTGGGGAAGAGTATTGATCTTGTTCAGTAAATTTTGTGTACTTTTCTCATTTCAACCTATGGTCCAGATTTACTACACCTTCTTTCCTCCTTTAGAACCTAGATTCCTGGGTACGTGTATCATTCATATCTTACTAGTTCATTTGGTACAGGTCGCATAGACTAAAAAATGTTTTCCGTGGCTCCATAGTGGTCCGTGGGTGTATACTAGTCTCTGTGCTCTTCTACTTGTTCTGATCCAACTCCAGATCGTTCTAAAGACGTTCAGCAAAGCCTCACCCCAACCCTTTGGCTTTAAAGGTTGTATAGAGGATTTTGGAGGGAAGAGAAATACAGCGACAGTCCTTGTGCAGGCGTGACACCACCTTCCTCAGTAGAAACATCTCCTCCTCCCGCCTCTTTACTCTAGAAATCATGTTTGTTTACGTCCAGTGCGCGTTCAGAATCACTGTTGAAGTGACCTGTCTGGAAATAATTTATTGACCGACGCGTTAGTTTTTAGACCCTTCGTCTGCTTCATTCGCGCCGTCGCTGGAAGAGATCTCCAAGAATCACCTCAGTTCGCTCTTCTTCGTCTTTCAGCGACCTCAAAAACGGACTTTCTTTTTGCGGCGAACTGGTCGTGGATTCTCGTCGGCCGTCTTGACAAACTTTGTGCAAACTGCGAGGAAGCTACAGTTTAAAAAAAGCCTCTAAACCGCAGCATAAACCACGTAATCCCCGCGCGCCGACGAGTCAGTTGCACTAGGAAGTTTGACTGACGACCTAACAGCCAATAGAAAAAGAGGCAGCCTCGTTTTCTATTGGCTGATGTTTATCTGGCCTCACTACGTCCGTCAGTTCATAGATTTTCATTTTTTTTTTTTTTTGGTCATCATAATTCCAAGTCTGCTGCGTCTCTGTAATGGTATTTTAAACTTTTATTGACAATTTGAAACAAAAAAAAAAATCCTCCATACAACCTTTAATAATCACCACAGACCCCTCGTCGCCCCCCATGCCCGCCCCACTCACAGTTCAACAATCAAACATCGAAGAGCCAAAAGTGCCAAAGCTCCAAGACCCAAAACTCATTTCACAAGTGCTGAAAATGTCATTTGAGTTTTTTCACCGCCCACACAAAACAACCACTGCACAAACTTCTCTATAGCCTCACACACGTGTCCCTATATGCCTCGCACTCCACTGTCTGTGCGTAGGAGACGGAACATATGTAACGAAGGAGGAAGCAGAGGAGGAGGAACAAAGACGAAAACAGAACAAAACTACTTTAGAAGAAGCGTTGTACTTATTATGACGAGCAGAGGGACCAGTTTTCAGGGTGCGCTGTGTAACTTTTCGGTTAACTCGGTCTGGTTTGTGAGATCTTCGGCGAGGTGAGCCCACACGTTAGTCATAAAAACACCCAGAATTCACTTTTTTAGTCTCATATTTTTCCGCTCCATTTCACGTCGCAGAAACGGCTTCAGGAATTTCGTAATCGTCGTCCCCCTGTGACACGTGGAAATCCGATTCGCTGTCGTCACAAATCCCCCGGAACAAACGGAATAACGCGACGAAATGCATTTAAACTCAAATTTGTATCAAGATGATTATTGCGAGTTGAAACGGTGTTCGCTCGTGTACATTTTCAATTTCTGCAAAAAGAGAAAGAGGGAGAGAGAGAAAGAAAGAGAGGAGAGACCGGGAGAGGGGGCGAGCGAGCCAATCGTGAGGAGGCGCGTCGCAAATCCAAATTGACAGCGAGAGACGAGAGGAGAAAGAATCAAAATATACAAAACGGAAGGAGAAGAGAGAGAAAGAAGAGAGAGAGAAGAGAGGAGGTGAAAGGAAGAGAGGAAAAAGAAGGAGAAGAGAGGAGAGGATGAGAGGGGGAGTGGAGCAGAGAGGAAAGGAGAAAGAGAGGAAGAAAGTAGAAAGAGAGAGGGGAGAGGAGGAGAAAGAGGAAGAGAAGAGAGGAGGCAGGAGGAGGTGAAAGGAAGAGTGGGTAGGAGAGAGGGAGAAGAAGAGGAGGAGAGGAGAAGAAGGAGAGAGGAGGAGAGGATGGAAGAAAAGTAGCACAAATAGAAAGGGAGGGGAGGAGAGAAAGGGAGAGGAGATGAAAGGAATAGAGGAGAGAGGGAGAGAAGAG